CTGTGCGTTCACTCACAAGATTTTTGCATTGCCCTCAGAAACTTTTTGTTTGCTTACAAAATTTGTGTTCCTCTGAGAAACGTTTCGTGTTCCCCCTAAGAAAAATTGTTTGCTCAGAAAACATTTGCATCCCTCCAAGAAACTTCCATTGCATTCCCCAAGATATATTACATTTGCCTGTAAAGGGCTCAAAAAAAAAAAAAAACATCACAGTGCAAAATGTTGTTTCCGTAAAATAAATATGAGCTAGAAGTTTCTTTGTAAAATTAACCATTTAGAATGCTGAAATCCTACTTAAATCACACACATACTGTATGTAAAGCTGAAGTGCATACAGTATATTCTCACACAAACCTCGTGGCAGTGTGTATTTGGCCTGGCTGTAGATCATGACGTATATCCCAGAGAATGGCGCATCTCTGAGCAGCGTGGCAGTCAGACCTGAAAACAAAGCCTTCGGTCCCTCCGTCCGACACACACACTGCAGCGCTCCGAACACACTGCTGTACTTATAGCGGCCGCTCTGAAACACACACATACACTACGTTATAGGTCATACAGTGTGTACAGATATACAAAGGTTTAGGGTTTGTAAGCTGTTTTTGAAAGAAGTCTCTTCTGTTCATCAAAGCTGCATTTGATCAAAAATACAGTAAAATTTTAAAATATTACAATCTAAAATAACGGTTTTCTATGTGAATATATTCTAAAATATAATTTATTCTTGTGATCAAAGCTGAATTTTCAGCATCATTACTCCAGTCTTCAGTGTCACATGATCTTCAGAAATCATTATAATATGCTGATTTGCTTGTGGAAACCATAATGCGTTTTATTTTTCAGGATTCTTTGTATAGGAAGGTTAAAAGAACAGCATAAAATAATTTAATGCATTCTTAATGAATAGAAGTATTAATTTCTTTCAAAAAAACCAAATTTTTTCACACACACCTCAAATCGTGTTTTGATGACGGTGACAGGCAGCATGCAGACGCCCACAACACATCTGGCTCTGGCTACCAGCAGTGTGGCCTGTAAGGGCCCTGGGGCCCGTCGGCAAAAAAACGCTGCTTTAGAATGAAATACGTGCTGAAGTAGATGCCGACTCCTGGAATGCAGCGCACAAACGACTGTGGAGACAGAAATACAGAATATAACCATGCAAACACAAACATAACAGAGGTTTCGTACCAAATCAGGTGTGACACTCACAGGCGAAACGCCTCTCCACAGTCCGAAGAGCTTCTCTGTGCGCAGGACACTCACAAACACCGTGACCATGCCGACCCGACCCGACCCGACCTAAGGCACAGAAGACAGTTCATTTAATACTCATTCAGCCAGACTGAAGCCTCGTCCCGTATGTGGACTGACCCGGGCTGGACGCCGTTCTGTAGGATCTGGAGACGTGTTTTCACCAGGTCCAGAGGCTGGAAGAGCAGCGTGGAGCACGTCCCACTCAGAGAGCCGCACATGAAGGCTTTCACAGCCGGATGAGCCTAAATCGAACACACAGAAAGAGAGAGAGAAACCTGTTATGTGGGAGCAACATATTTAAACAAATTTAGTTTTATCTAGTTGCCATGGCAACATTTCTCATTTTTCAACAAATACAGAGTTCTGGCATGAAACTCTAGATGGCGCAGTCCGATACGTTAAACGCGTCATCACAGTCTTGTGAAAAGGGCCCAAGTTTAACAGAGCCCTCCTTCACACGGACCAATCAGAATGCAGGAAAACAAGAGGCTCGGCTAAAGCCCGCCCCCCTCAGAGGATTGACTAATGAATCGGCTGCTTCACTTCTGCAAAAGCTTGAAGTAAACATTACAACAACAACAAACGTACTCCCTGAAAAGAGCCCGCTCAGATCTTCAACCGCATATTCCCGTAACTATGATCATCCACAATGAACAATATTAAACCGCGTGAGCTGAGATATTGCACAGTCAGAGCTGCGGTAACTACCAGTTACACTACCGTATCACTAACTAGATAACATGACTGATATATGACCTATAAAAATGGAGCAAGTTGAGGTGAGCGGATCAAGGCAGAGTATCAGAGTTCAGAGGGAAACTGCAGAACAGACAAAATGATACATTTCAACTAAATTGATGTCCACATCACCCATTTGTATTTTGCATAATATTACATTACTTAGCCTATATTCTGATGCATAGTGTTAAAAAAAAAACACATTTAACATCTTTAAACAAAAAAAAATCATCCAACAAATCAACATTTAACAAAAAACATCTTTTAATGCTTTTGCGTTCTCTCGCAAAACATTCCCCTGCAAACTTTGCGCTCGCTTGCAAAACCTGGATGAGTTGATAAAAAACAATATTTCAATGCTCTTGCGAGCGAATACGCAATACGCGAGAGAACGCTGAAGTTTTGCGAGCGAATGAATGCCAGTAAGTTTATCGATTAACTTTTTTCTTTTCTTTTTTTTAAAGATAGGCCTAATATAAGAAACATTAGTTCAACGTGTCAAAACGTGTTTCTAGAAGTGTACAGGTTTGCAAAAAGCAATTAAAATACGAACACACAGAAGCTTACCAGTGAGAACTCCATGATGTTTGAGATGATCAGTTCTTGAGCAGCTCGGCTTCTGAAAACACCAGTGATCTGAGAATGAATAACTGACAGCATCTCAATTTCACACACACACTCACACACTCACACACACACACACACACACACACACACACTCACACACACACACACTCGAAAGAGAAATTAAAGAAGTCAAGTGAGCACCAGTCGGTCCAGTAAAGCGCTGCTGTCTGTCCTGCTGCGCACGCGCTCCCCAGGTAGGTATAAGAGAAAGGGGCGGGGTCTAAAGCAAGGTAAGTAGTAAACTCGATTTGATTGGTCAGCTATAACGCCTGCAAGACCAGTGACCAAATGTAACGGCTGAGAAATAATAAATGCAACTATATAAAATACAGTTTATCCAATATATCTAAAGCAGAATTCTAAACCGAACTTTTAGGACTAACAGATTAGCCTATTAAAATTAATGAATTAATTACGCATTTATCTAATAAATGAGAGAATGATGACATAGCTACAACAAAGCTTATCTCTCACAAAATAAAACAATAAACTAGTAAAAAAAAAAAAATCTCAGTGAAACACAATCTTTAACACAGATTGAAAGGGTGTAGATTCGCTTCAGTGTAAAGCAGATAAACCCGCTCAGAAGCGCGTTGGAGTCCTTCAGCTCTGCGAGGCGGTCAGTGTGCGTGCTCTCGCGGCGGAGCTCAGCAACGCTCTAAACAGATTATTGGACTATTTCATGAGCATATTCTATATATCTATATTCTCAAAGAACTCGTAAAAGAAAGCATTTTCATCAGTAATGATCAAACTAGACTAGAATCTAGACTAGAAAGTGGGAACTGAATGTGCACAACTGAAATATCCACAAAATAAACACCAACACTGAAATAAGAGCGTGCAGTTTATGTCAATCAGATGCGCGTGAAGGTTTTCTTTCAGAATCATCATTGGTCCAATTCATATTTAATATTAAAGGGGTCATATGATGCGATTTCAATTTTTCCTTTCTCTTTGGAGTGTTACAAGCTCTTGGTGCATAAAGAAGATCTGTAAAGTTGCAAAGACTAAAGTCTCAAATCCAAAGAGATATTCTTTATAAAAGTTCAGAGTCAGCCACGCCTACCTAAAACGGCTCGTTCTAACACGCCCCCACATGTCTACGTCACGATGTGGGAATATTTGCATAACGCCGCCCAAATGTTCACACAAAGAAAGAAGGCGTAACTTATATTCTCGCTGTAGTATTGTTGTTCCCGCCGCCATGTCTGTGTGATTCGTTGTGAAAGCGAAACTACTTTGTTTGGTCTTCCAAAAGAGGACGATATCGCTTCGTCATG